CTTAATTAGTTGCTTACTGACGCCTGTGCTGTATTAGGCTCTTGTATTCATTCAGCCAATCTGAGATAGAAATCAATCGTAACATCTTGAACGTTGCTGTGTTCACCATCGCATCACGTAGTCTTTCGAATCGATTTTACTCGGAATTCAATCCATTGCGGGTTTTTAGTCTTGTCTTGTTTCAGGTTCTTCGAATGTACATCTCTTCTGATGTGTTGTTGTTAAGCAACCGGCAACTATTCTCCACTTTTTCTACGTTATTTTATTGAGAACAGCAGCACATTTCATCCATACATACATTTTATTCTTCACCGAATAGATTTCTGAACAGTGAACAGATTCACTTTCGGTTTGCAAATATTGGACTTGAACAAGGAGTCAGAGAAGGTTTATCCAGTTCTCCAGTGTCTTTTGAGATGCTAAAACTGAATCCATTCACATGCTCGTCATAAACTGCGCGAATTCCACGTATCGCTAAGTTATCAGCGGAGCTCTCCAGGTTTTAGAAAATCCACTTCAGTTACTTCACTATGCCTTTATTGGATTCTTACTGCGACTATATTCGTTGCTTGTTTCTGTTTTCTCACACGCTGAATACTTCAAATAAGTTCAGATCAATGATGTGGTCAAAAGAAACTGATTTGCTGTCGTAGTGATCATGATGAGTATTTGATGTTCTGCTTCAGAGTTCATAAAATAGATGCCACAGGCGGCTGTTATAACTGAAAGTGTTTGTACGCCATTGTCGCTGTCCTCTCTGCCCAACGAATCCGTCAACAATTCGTCGTCGTCAACAAACTCTTCGTCAGAAGTTTCCTTCCAACATTGCTCAACTTCATATCCCAAGAAAGCGCTCGCGATGATCGAAGGTGATCCAATACCTGCGTCTGTTGTACCGGCTGCCACTCCTTATGCACCGCACGGTGTGCAAGCGGCTATTGCCCACCATAATCATCAGTTACAGCTACAGCAACAGCAACACAACAACGGAGCTCATCATTCGCACAGCCACCCTCACGTTCATGCACTTAATCAAGGTGGAACCCTGAATTCGATTCCACAACAACAAGCCTCAACGCCAACAATCCAGTTTGCTGCCGGTGCATCACCGCCAGCACATATAATTCTACCGCCTCAGCACCAGCCCTATCGTAAGCCAGAACCAGCGTTGCGCTCTATGGCAAGACGTCAGTCGCATACGCTTCTCTATGTTCCGGAACATCGTCGTGTTTCGACAATATCCGGTAATTCGATAGCGTCTTGTCCGGCTTCGTATCCGGGGAAGCTGGCGGTCGACGAGAAACTTGGCCAGAATGTCGAGAGATCCAGGATCACTCCACCGCAAAGTGTCCCGTTGGTGCACTCGTCGCCACAAGTCGATAATCGTCGGAAATCAGTGCAAACCGGAGCACCGGCCATAGCGTTTCGGCCGATGCGTTTCGAGCGGCGCTCGTCACAGCCTTTACTGCGGCATGTTGTGGCCGGAGCCAATAAAGCAGCCGCAGCAATGGCGATAGCTGAAGATTCGGCCGAAATGGCTGGTGAGGTGAGATTACGTCAAGCACTCGTGGTCGACGAGCCCAGCGCTGGAGGACCGAAGAGTGGTACGCTTGCGGGAGCAAGATATCAGATGCCGGTAGGCCAGTGTGATATGCCTCGTCTGCTGACAAAACGAGTGAGCTGGTTGTCGATGAAGAGTCTACAGGATTCTGTGGAACCACTGCTGACATTTTCTCGCCGAGGCAAAAAGCAAAACAGTATGGCATCCGGTGATAACTTGAACAGTCGTAATGATTCAAGAACGAACAGTCAGTACGGATCCGTGCTGCAGTTGGACGATAGTAGTTTACTGGAGAGGGAAGAGGATACACCGCCGTTAGATACGCTCAGTTGGAGTTTTGGAGGTATTCGAATGTTCGTTCATTTCACGTTTGTTTGTCCAGTTCATCACCTTGTAAATTACTTCATTTGTTATGCAACTGGAATA